TTTTGATTTGTTTGTTTGTTTATTTTAGCAAGGTATGCAGGGTTGAATGTTGTTGTCTTGTTTTGATGTCTTGTTTACTCAAGTAAGTCATTGATCTTTTCTGTTTGGTTCTGCTTATTTACCAGATTTGTTGTTGATTTCCGTTGTTGTGAAGAATGGGTTGTTTGTACGTAGACACTTGATAAACCTTATTATGTTGTTTGGTACTAGACTATTTGACGTGTACGTGTTCGCGTAACTTGTTTTGATGTTTAGACAAGTGTGTATGAAATCAGGATACTCTACTGTTTAGTTCTTGGAAGCCTTTGATATCCTTCTGGGCTTTGTAAGCTTTGAGTTTTTCTGATTTATCGGTAAGAATTACTGTTTACAGAGTTTTTTCTAGTGCCTAGAAAGGTGTAAACAGACACTGGTCTGGCTAGAAGCTTGGAAAGTTGATATTGGGCTCTTCTAAGCTTACTGTGAATTAGTTTGTAATTGTTTTTCCCTTCCCTTGTAAAGTAAAGCTAGTATGATGCTGTGTTGCCTATACTTATTTTGATCGATAAGGGGAGCTTTGGAAAGGTGATTGACTGTTGTAGTTTGTTGTTAAGTCCTAAATCTTTAAAGGATAAAGTGCTTTTAAGGCTGGCTTCTCTTTTCCAAAAAATTACTAAATAAGGAAATTTTTAGGAAAAAGGGGATCAGCGGGGAAAGAGTAGTTTTTATTTATTATTAATATAATATCTTACTAAAATAAAAGTATAATAGTTATATTGATTTTTTTAAAATATATGGTATATTCAAAATTTTATTTATTATATTATATTTTAAATTACTTGATCAGTTTTCCTTAAATTATATTATATTATATTTTTTTTAAAAAATAGGTTTTGATCTAAACTTTTTATTATTTATATTTTGTTTTGTTAATTATTTTATTAAATTATTTATTGTTATAAATTGCTTCTTTTTTTATTATATATAAGCTTGAGTATTAAAACAAAGATAGATCTTTAAAAAAAAACAAAGATAAGAATCAAATATTATTTATTAGAGAATATTTAAAATTTTATGTTAATAATCATAAAAAAACTATTCAAAATAGTTTTCTATTATTAAAACCTTTGATTTATAACATTTTCTAAATTTTGATTTACTAAAATAAAGAGTTATGAATATTATTTCTTAAAAAAAAAAAACATAAATGATCTGTAAAATTTATATATTAAATATTTTAGGGATCTATTATGAATTAAAACTTAATTTTATTTCTATACTTGAAATATCTCTAGTTAAAGGTTGATTGTTAGTTCTTTTGTTTCTTTTAATTAAAACATTGATAGTTTTTATTGAATAATATAAGATTATTTTTTAAAGTAATATTTTTTGTATTTTATATTAGATTGATGATTAGAACTTAAAAAAATTTTTTAAATTGAAATGATTGTTTTAATTTAAATATTATTAATATATTTAATAAGTAAAAAGATTTAGATCATATTTATTACAAGTTGTAATTTTATAATTATGTATAAAAAGTATTATATATTACTTTATAAAATCTTTTTTTTAATTATTTATTTTAATTAAATATTATAAATAAATATATTTATATCTATTTATATAATTTTGAAAAAGTTTGTAATAAAGTTTGCATTAAAGTTAAAGGTTATCAAATATGCTTTAAATTTAAAAACATATATTTTGTACTAATTGTAAAAAACCTATAGTTTTTCATTATAGATATTGTAAATTATATAAAAGAAAATATTATATTATATCTTATTATTAAAGACTTTATAAAAAAAACATACAATATAGAAACAATTATTCTAATTCAAGTTATCAAGAGAGCAAAATATCATTACCTAAGTTGTATCTAGAGAAGTTAAACTTCTAAGATGGGTAAGCTGTTATGTGAAAGTCTTTTAAATTATATAATAATTTTAAAACATACAATAAAAATAAGCCATGATAGCCTGATGATAGTGAGTCAAAAAAAAAAAAAAAAAAAAAAAAAATAATTATTCTTTAAAAAAAAAAAAAAAAAAAAAAAAAAATTATTTTTTAAAAAAAAAAAAAAAAAAAAAAAAAAAAAAAAAAAAAACATAATTTAAAAATTTTTTTAAAAAATAAAACTCTAAAATTTAAAAATTATATTTAATTTTTATAAAAAATAGTTTTTTATTAAAAAATTTTTATTTTTAGTTATTTAAAAACAGTAAAACTCAAACAACTAATCCTGAAGCATAACCCAGGCCTTTATATTATTTAAAATTAAACTACTTAAAAAATGATTTTTTTTAATAAAAAACTATTTTTTATAAAAAAATAAAAATTTTAAAAAAGTAAAACTCAAATAACTAATCCTGAAGTATAACCCAGACCTTTATGCTATTTATAATTAAAAAAAATTTTTTTTTAATAAAAAACTATTTTTTTTTAAATAAAAAACTATTTTATATAAAAATTAAATACAATTTTAATATTTTTTTTTTTTAAATAAAAAATTCAATAAAAAATAAAATTTTTTAAAAAAGTAAAATTCAAATAACTAATCTTGGAGCATAACCCGGACCTTTACGCTTGTAATATTCCTAAAGTTATATTTAGAGTTCATAAAATTATAATAAGTGAATTATTTAGAGAATTATTTTTATCCTTATTTAGTTAATATACAATACGTACAGTTTTATAAAAGTTTAAAAAAATTATATATCAGAATAAATAAAATCTAAATATCTTTCATTTATTGATATATTTGATATCAATTAATTAAATTTTTATCTATATATATATAAGTACGATATATATTTTTATTTATAACAAAAAATAATAATAATAATTTTCTTTATATTCAACTTATTTAAATTGTTAAAATCGAAATTTTTTAAAAATAAGTACAATGTAAGCAGTAACTTTTAATAAAGATCAACAAACAAAAAAACCCAAAAACAATAATAAAAGGGATTTCTTAATATACTGAATGATAAATTATAACATTCGTGTAGAGTTTGGTGAATCCAAATATTTAAATCACTGATGCTCGTTAATAAATTTAGTAAGCACCGATCGTGTTATTGTGATTCTCATGCATATGTACATATACTGATTGGTTTTCATTATTGATAAAGTCTAAAGTGTAAAAGACACGATTTATATCATAGGGTTTGTCGTTGATTTCCTCATTTGGGCAATTATAGTTCAAGAAGGTTTATAATCTCGTTTTGTTGCGCGTGTAACACGAATTGAATTGTTTATTTGTTCTAGTCCTTTAATCACGAATGTTTAGGCAATCGAGCAATTTACTAAGAAGATTAGTCGGTTTTCGCCACACCAAAGGAAAGCGGTATTTGCAAAGTGACGGAAAACCCACTAGACAAGGTATCCCGTTCATCTGTAGAATTTAGAAAGAATTTACCACCCGAGAAGCTTATAACATTGAATAATTATTTAGGAAATCCTGTGGAAACCTCATCCGATGTAAAAACATCACCGCCTTCGCAAAAAATATTCGGAGATTTTCGTGTAGACTTACCGTCAGAGAAAACTGTCCAGGAATCGTCCGAGATTCTGCCGGACAATCATCAATTGGTCGAGGACGCGCATATCAGGGAACTCTGGTCCAAAAGTATCCAATATCGAGATATGGTGAAATACGTGAGACCTAAAGAAACCTACGATTTTATTATTGTAGGAGCTGGTTCCGCTGGATGTATTCTGGCCAGAGAGCTCATATATAATATACCGAATATTAACATTTTAATACTGGAAGCAGGCCCACCGGATGCTCAAATAAATGATAGGATTAGTGTTCCATTTGCTCATTCTAGCGTGAGTATTATCGTATCTTGAATTGTTTTTGAATAACCGTTTTTTTTTTTTCACGTAATGTGCAACATTCTCGAATCGCTTAAATCAAATAGCTATGGAGAACTAGTGAAGTTGATTGGTCATTTTACACCCAACGTCAAGTGATGCCTGGTTCATTAGATCCGACCAAAACGTTGGTAAACCAATCTTTAATGTATCCGCGAGGAAAGGTTTGGGGTGGTTGTAGCTCGGTGAATGCAATGTCCTACGTGTAAGTCCGGTCGAATATTGGATTGTGTTGAAACGTGACCGAAAGATAATCATGAATTGAAATATTGTTAACTGTTAGACGAGGTCACCCTGAAGATTATAATGCCTGGGCGAGTCATGGACCAGAATACAAACATTGGGATTATGATCATTGCCTCGAAGGTGACAGACTCTCTTCTGACACTTTTTAATTCGAATCAAAGACATTAACCATCTTCCAAAATATATTATCATAATGTAATAATATTAGCTTTCAAGGCGACTGAGAATAATAATAGAAAGGATTCTGATGACGAATTCAAGAAGTATCATGGATTCGATGGCTTGATAAGAGTACATGATCATGGAGACAAGATATTTGATGTAATGAAAGAAGTGAAAGTTGCAGCAAAAAATTACGGTATTCCCGAAAATAAGGACTATAATGGAGCAAAACAGGTAACGATACCGAGATAGACACATTTTACATTATGTTTACTAATGATTTCGAGTAACTTTATGCAGAATGGGATAGCCACTTATCAGGTATCTTTACACATCAATCGTCATCATATTCTGAAAGTTTATTGATGTCAGAACGTAAATTGTAGGCAGCGATAAAAAATGGCAAGAGATGTTCTGTGGTAGATGGTTATCTCACCGAAGCGTTGAGCAAAGTTGAGGTCGTGAAATCTGACAAGGGTTCCAACGACGAGTCACCATTCGACATCTGTAAGATTTCTGCGGTCAATGTGAAGTCTCATTCACATGTGTTAAACGTAATTTGGGAAGGATCGGATGGAAATGTAGCTAAGGGTGTCAGATATTTTTATGATGGTGCTGTTCATGAGGCGTATATCGCGCCGAAGGGTGAAGTCATTCTTAGTGCAGGAGCAATCAATAGTCCACACGTAATATGAAAAATTTATTAAGTTTTTTTTTTTTTCTTAGCTGATAGGCAAATCGTCATTTTCTCAACTCGTACTGTTTTCCTTTCTTCCTTCCTTACTTCGCTTTTCTTTTTCTTTTTTTGGTCAGCTGCTTATGCTCTCAGGCATAGGCCCGAGGAATGATTTGACAAAGAGCAACATTATGGTTCGCAAAGAATTGCCGGTCGGGAAAAATCTCTGGGATCACCCACTGGGAATGATTACGGTTAAGATAGGTGTGCCCAATTCCACCTTGAAATCGTGCATACATCATTGGTCTAACGGGCCCGAAATAGCAATATTTCATAAAGCCAATAGCGAAGGAAGAATACCCACGAAAGACGAATTATCAAATGAACGCCCGGATATACAAATTACATGTAATAAGATCATCTGAGAGAGGGTGACACAGGTTCTTTTTTACCCTCAAATTCTGACTTGACATTGTGTCACTAGGTGCCCCGATTATATTTGACACGGCGATACTTAACCCACCAGACGGAAGCCAACCATTCACCGGAGAAGGAATAACGTTTTCGCCGGTACTTAACTTGCCCGCCAGTGTTGGATGGTTGGAACTTGCAAGTCAAAATCCATTCGAGCAACCGAAAATTTTCCTCAATTACTTTGATAAGTCGGACGATATGTACAGGATGATAAGTTCATTTAAGATGTGCCTTGAAATTATAAAAAATCCGCCGCTGTCAACTGTTTGGAATGCGCAGGATATCGGAATCACAGATGAATTCGGACAGTGGGCCAGCGATGGGGTTAATATGACGGATGATGATTGGGAAAGGTACATCCGTGAGAAGGTAACCTTACTTTTCGGTAATTGCTTCGAGTTCGACATTTTTAAAGCTTTTTTCTTTAATAAATTCGATAGCATTTCACCTCATTCCACCCTTGCGGGACCGTGAAGATGGCACCGGAGGAAAGGGGTGGTGTGGTAGATCACAGACTTCGAGTTTACGGAACCAGAAATCTTCGAGTCGTAGATGCTTCAATATTCCCAAATATCCCTGCGGCAAATACTTTTGCGCCAGTTTGTATGACGGCATGGAGGGCCTCGAGATTGATTGAGGAGGATTATAAGAGGAAATGACACCTCAAATTTCAGAAATCGTGAAAGATCATGAACATGATGCCTAAAATAATTAATTTACGGGTTTTTGACAGAAAAATATGTACTTGACTATCCTTGACCAGTAAATTGTCTTTTTTACTGTTAATAACATATTATGCAAAGTACTTTCAGAAGATCAACCCGATTATTAGTGCAAAAACATAGAAAATACAAATTTTTCCTGAATTGTTGTGACCGACTTGAACCTTTCTCTAACCAATCGTCTGTGTTGAAACTCGGATTGGTTATTAAATCCGGGTCCGTGCATTCATTTCTGAATAGATGCAATAGATGGAAGGCGGTTGGACTCAAAGAAAATCGTACTCCTTTTAAAAGGAAAAAATTAACAAAAGTTTTTATAGTGAATTTCATCGCAGTAACTAGGCTTTTATTCAAATAAAACAGGTATCCACATTGTTATCGGTAGTGTCATGTTATTCACTTGTCAAGTTACTTCATCTTACATTGCGAATTTCATGACTGTTGGGATCAAGATCTCCATGGATTGAATCTCCCATTGACCTTTCGGAAAGTCCTTTTCCATAAATATTGATACCACGCGATACAATAAGCTATACACAGTAAGCATAGATTTAAAAGAATGTCATGGAAACTAATTTTTGTCATTCTCACGTTTTTTTTTTTTTTAAATGTATTTAATCATTGTTTCTATTGGTTAATTCGAATTAAATAATGTTCTTTCATATCAATCTAAATTGTTCATTCGTGTATTACAAATTTACTTGAGTTTTCTTTCTACAAAATCCGGTAATTCTTGATTAACTCTAAATGCATGCATGCATCAAGAAGTGCAAATCTAGTCGAAATATCCAGAAAATTCGTATTCCCAAACCATATGTAATAATCCCATCTCATAGGAATACTTTTCTATGATCTCGTCCAGTTCGGTGCTCATGTTTTCAGCTGCTTTCTCAGAAACCTGAAGGTAGAAAACCGACGGCTGAAATCTTATATTTTTCCAGGATTCCAAAAACTCCACCAGGGAAGTTGCAGAATTTTCCCAAATCCATCGGCCCTCTAATCTTAATCTGGATAGCTTTGCCGGTGCCGAATCTTTCAGCACCTCAAATACCCTTCTCGCTTCGTATTCTATGCTACTATGTATTGACAGAATCTCGAGATCCCCGCAGGCTATTAATATTTCCTTGACATATTGTAGGTTTAGTGTCATGCACCACAGCGTGAGGATTCGAAGTTTTCGACAATTCCTGGTCAATATTTGATTGAATTCTAACCGGGGTTCGGTGATCGGGGGACGTTCTCCATATATCACCAGTTCTTCCAGGCATCCGTTTATCTTTTCAATGAAACTTTCAAGTATGTGCAATCTGGGGAATCCCTTTCCTGCTCGAAGAATTCGGAGATTCGGAAACGAAATTGACTCCAGATCATCGAAAATATTGATAACCCTGTCGTGTTCAAAATGCAGATCAAGTATCTGTATATTGATGCACGGTGATATAATGTTCAGAGGAATACACGGCGTCTCTCCTTTTAGTAACAAGTGACGCACGGAATTCGCCTGTTTGGCCACTGACTGCGCAAGATTAAATCCCGAATAAAACCTGCTCCCATATACTCCCACGAGTTCTACTTTCTTCAAATTTCTCTGACACTCTATCAAAACCGCCAGCCCCAGATTATCAAATTCCTCGTGGCATTCCACCGATATGTGTTCGAGGTTCCTGCAGATCTGTGCCAATCGACAAAAAATCTCCAATGATATCTTAGAATCGCACTGTAATTCACGCAATCCCACTAAACATTTCTCGGCCCCAAGGAAATAGGGAAATGGTACTTTGAGATTACGAAGATCGAGAAACTTGAAATTCACGCATTGACTCATAAACATCTTGAAAAATTCCTGCAGTATCAGTTGCATGCAATATATACTCCTCGAGCTTACTTGATGCTTTAATTTTTCATCCCTGTTATCTGGCTGACTCGGCATCTCATCATTACCTGATTCGTATAGGGTGATCCCCAAGAGTAGAATGTTTCTGAATGAAAGTGATTGAATATATCTAACGTAATGAAATAGCAAGGGTCTCCGTGAAATGAATGACGAGACGTCAATGTTGTTATTCAACAAAAGACTTTTCGAAGATTCTGGGAGACATGTGACCAAGATTTCCAGGATCGTTCTCGATTTTTCTTGGTCATCCAACGATTTGTGTATATCCCAATTTCTCCATAGGAACTCTACCACGTTCTCACACCAAAGCCTGTTGACGAATAGACACGAGTAAAGTGCACTGGTGTCATCCTGCAAGACCTTAAATATTTCTCTGAGGCAATCGGCTGGAAGTAATTCCATATCCTTTAGTCGTGTTAGAAGTCGTCAACGGAAATAAAAGTTTTCATTAATATCGCTGCAAACAATACGTGAAACGAGTGATTTTATTGGTCGATACATGTGTGGTAAAGATTCCGCGAATCTTCTTTTTTGATGATCTTTTCACATGAAAATCAATTCGAAATGATAACGAATATGAGTATTTACCTTTGAAGCAACAGGTTAATGACAGAGTTGCATCAATCGAGTACCGATAAATCTGATATAACACTGGATGGATGGCTTGAGCAGCTAGCGAAAGGTTCACTATCCCCTTCGAAATTTTTTCACATAGAGTTAGGGATAATATAATGATGTAGTATAAATTCCAAATTAAAAGTTGTGGTTTGGACGCGTTCCCAAACTTTGCACTCGACCGATTATTAAACTTTTGCACAGAACAATTCCAAGTATGTAGCAAAGAAATTTCGTAAGTTTATTTAAACTCGATATTTCAGGGGCTTTTTTATACGAGGAAATTTTTTTTTTCCTGAAATTTCATTGGCAGCGAAACGTGTCCAATTAATCCTGTGGTACGGTACGCAGCATGATTGACACAGAGTTCAAGTTCTAGAACAATGTTTACTCCTTTTCTTTTAAAATACATGATCACACCACGCGTAGGATCGGAATACGTTACGATAAAATGGCACATTTATTTAACAAAAATGAGTCTCCAAATGTTAAAAGTAATACAAAAAGATATTTTCCTCCACGCTTATTTCATGTCCAACATAATTATGCTTTTTCCATAGTTTTCGAAGACCTTCTCTGCTAGGGTCCAATATTTCAGCATTGATTGAACCGTGGGTCCGTCCCACTTATGATGACCTCGCCGTGAACCAAAAATTTTCTGTCGACTATCAGAAATTCGATCAAAGTGTATTTTCCAAAACTCTTCAAATACTCTGACGCCACTTTGAAAACCGTCGATATCATTGATAATCGATTTAATAGACTCATGATCTTTTCGCAAAATAGCATACATTGTTTCTTTATGTCCTGATTTATTGTGATCTCCCTTACTAAGTATAAATCCTATTATTCCCCCAGTTATCAAAGTTGCCGCCAAAGTTACGCCGCCATCCACAAGTGACATACACGTAGCAATTGGAATGGCCGCCATTGTGCCAATCCCTAGTCCAGTGAGAGTGCCAGTTTTGGTTGCCTTCACTTTATCCTTCAGTTCTTTTGTTCTTATTTCATACAAAGTTGATTGTATTTCCGAGTTTCGAATCCTTAAACTCTCGGAAATCTTATAAAAACTATTGGTTATGTCGGTATAGCCTTGCCTCAAAAGATTGCATTTTTCCATTATATTGGTTACTCTAACTTCTGTGGCTGCCAAAGTATCATCAAAATCCAATTCTCCATGCTGAAATTTTCTTAAATCCGTGATAATGTATTTAGCTGACTGGGCTGCCTTAACGCTATTGGAGATACTAGACTTTGTTAAGGCCTTAAAATTTCTACTTTGCAGGCGAATTTCCTCGACGGCACGACATAGTGTCGCGTCTTTGACCTCAGATGTTGGGTATTTCAAAAACCTCGTCAGAATTTTTTCGTATTCCTCCAAATCGATATTCGGCGACGCGTCGTTTAACTCGCTGTCGGCTGTCACAGGCATTGCAATTGTCTGATGATGTAAATACTGCAGCCAGGATATCGAATTTTATTGGTTGTTTACAAGTTTAATACTTTATATGCGAACTTTGAAGTCATTCGGAAATGTAAATGTTGGGAAAATTAAAATTATTAAGCCTTTTATACAATTTTGACGTAATACCATCCGCCGAATGTATTAATTTGACTACCCTTACGACAAATTTTATCAGATACAAATATCAAGCCTGTTCCATATCATCGTGCTCAACCATATAATATAATTGTCTTCAAGGGTCACTTAATTACATTGATCTCGGTGGGCGAAAGTAGAAATCGGTGTAATTACGGTAGCTATGCGTGCTTGCGGCCGAGTAAACGTGTGATCGAATCATTTTTACTATTTTGCCATTGTCATTTTATCATTTTCAAGTATGATATCGATAGTATACGGTATAAAGTTTATGGAGGAAGAACGTCAAACTGTTTCCTGTTATCTGCATGAAAAAGATTTAAAAACTCGATACGTTTGTTGGAGTTGTACGTACAACTGCTCGCAAAAGTTTTCATATACAATTTTTGGTAATATGCATATCTCTTTAAAAATTTCACCATTGACAAAAAATAATTTTCCTCCAATAATACATTTCAAGTTAATAAAATTTTTTGAGTTAAAATACCTATAGTTTCCTAGTACAGTTTTAAATGTTGGCATGTGACTTTTGAATAAAAAATTGGAGTTTCACGAATAGATTATAAGATTATAATTTACTTAATGGAATTCCGATTTCTTAAGTAAAAGTCATATGTCAACATTCAAGGTTATACTAAGAGATTATAGGTATTTTGACTTAAAGAATATGATTATCCGGGGAGGATTTTTTTTTTTTAAACTACAACCTGAACTTTTGTATATTAATGATTTAATGCTTGTCTTTTAAAATTGTTTGTTTATTTGAAAAATAAGAATTTTTAAATTATCTATCATTTTAAAATCACTTTTTTTTATTTATTAATTAAAGGTTCAAATAATATTTTTTATTTATTAATTAAAGGTTCAAATAATATTTTTTATTTATTAATTATAGGTTCAAATATTAGAGTATTTAATAATTTTTTTGAAAAAGATATTCAGGTAAAAATTTTTTTACAAATTTTAATTTTAAATAAGGGATTAAAATTATTAACTCATAAATTAAAAATTAATTAAAGTATTTATCATTAATATATAGTATATCTTTTTTGAATTTAAATGGTTTTTTAAACTTAAAATTCTTTTTAACTCAAATAATTTTTAAAATTCTATTGTTTTAATTCAAATTAATATAATTTTTTATTTTAATGATTGAATTTTAATTAAAATTTTAAACTTATACTTTAATAATAATTGAAATTGAATAAAATATTGATTTTTCACAATATAGTTTTTTTTCAATATTTATATAAAATTGTTTTATCAAAATTGAATAAAATATTGATATTTCACAATATAGTTTTTTTTTTCAATATTTATATAAAATTATTTTATCAAAATTACAATTTTATAATTTTTTTTATTAAATATGTTTAAATCTATTTTTTAAACTTTTCTATAATACATATATTTTAGTTTACAAAGTTATTCAAAAAAAAACTCTTTCCCACAGATCCTTTTTTTCTTAAAAATTTCTTTTTTAGGCAATTTTGTGAACCAAGAAGAAAAGTGAATGGAAAGATGAGTTCTTCAAGAAAACAACGAAAGCAATATACTCAAGGCAGATCCAACTATAATGAGAATGCCCTAGCTAAAGGTAACACAAGATTGTCATGCAAAGAAACACAAACGGCAAAAAATAAACTTTGAAGAAAAATAAAGAAAAAGAAAAGGAAACCCAGTCAGAAAACCCTAGAGTAATGATAGGTCCCTAAAGTATTTAACATATAAAATTTCGCAGATCACTTATGTTCCTTTTTGAGGGACATAATTCATAGCTCTTCACTTTAATAGGAACAAAAATCAGAAAATACTATAAATCAATGATTTAGATAATGGAGAACAATTGTGGGTAGTTTTTTTATGGTTATTAATTTAAAAATTTTAGTTTTTCCTAGTGAGGAACATTTGACTTATGTCCCTGCCTCCCTCTTTATGGACCTATTTTTACTCTAGAGACAAACTGCAGCAATACACAAACTCTAGCCAGACTTCCAATCCCTATCAAACAATGGAAACAAGACAACAAAACAACAAAAAACAATCTTTCTGGAGCGAATAAGTCGAAAAAACAATCCAGCCAAATTTAATAAACAATAACAATCAAGCAAACATAGGCAATATGACTACCAGACCTAGTACCAATCAAGAAGCCCAAAAGATTATATCTGACAATGAAGACTCCAATATAGAAATGGAGAAATCAAGTAGTAGCAGAAAGGACAATCAACAAAGTGAAGCACATGACAAGAGGTCACATCCAAAACCAGAGAAATGATAAGCAAACTCAGCAAGCCCAGATCAAGAACCCCTATCGATAGCACTACTAGATTTGGCAGAGAAAGGGTCAAAACAGGAATCAAGGCCTCCCTTATCCTAGAAAGAACCACCAGTCAAAAAATTGCACATATAATCAAAAGCCTTAACTCTCTTAATGGCCTCCTCTCTACCCACAGTAAAGGAAAAGGCGAAAATGAACATATTATTGCCATTTTTAGTGATCACCCCACTGCAGAAAAAGCATGCAACACTATCTTACTTGACACCGAAGATGCGTATCTAGAATACATGGCCTTCACATCCTCTAAACCAAATAAAGAAATGAGTATCAAAGTATAGGATATTCCTCTAAACACTAAATTTATAGACGTACAACAAACATTTATCAAATATGGAGAGATTACCAACATTTCCATGTCAACACAACAAATGTGGCAATCAGCAATCATTACATACACAGATCAACAATCAAAAGAAGATCTAATTAACAAGTGGAGTATCCTGTTGCGATCACACTCAGTCAGGATTTTTTATGCACAATGAGACATGGACCAAATAAAAGCACGTGGCAACACCACAGTAAAACTGATCAATCTTCCTCCCAATACCACAGCCTTCGATTTCAAATACATATGTGAACAAACAAAAGCAAAAACATGCTACATTCCAAGACATATATCATATAAATGCAAGTGATTTGCTATAGTAGGATTCAGTAATCAGAATGATCTAGAGAATGCAATAGCACAAAACTTCACTCTAGATGAAACCCAAACTGAATGGAAACCAATCGACACAAAACTATGCACAATATGTGGCAGTGCAACGCATCTAGTTATTCAATGTTCTATTAAGAAAAGAAGGGAACAATGGAACTGCTATAATACTGAACAAGCAAACAGATTCGGCAAACTTTATAATAGATTCAGACCTGCGCATACTGAAACAATCAGACGTAAAACTCTGATCAACAAATATACCAAAACCAGATCAGGTTCATACACAGCAGCAATCAAAATAACAAGAGAAAACAAAGCAGTGGAACAGTCACATCAACCTGATCTAACACAAATCTTAAATATCCTTAATGAAATCAGACAAGAAATTGTACAGATTAAAGAAAAAATTGTAGACCTGGATGAATGCATTATCAATCTCAAAATCTATGATAAAGAATATGGCAAACACATGGAAGAGGATACAATTTCATATAGTGAAAGAGAAGATAACTCAACAATAGAAGAGGCTCCTACTAACAATAATCAAGATATTCGCACTCAACAACAACGAATCCAATCATTCATGCAAAAACTAGATCAAAATATGGATTGCATGTACAATGTAATTATTGACTCTTTTGCAGGTACACACAAACTTCCCTAAATCAACAATAATGAAGAGTAACTCGAACACCGAAAATACATTACACCAAGAAACACCTAGTATTAATATCATCACCATGCTACCTAATACAACATCATATCAAGAAGAAACCCCTCAAAATTCAACAAACATAATAATAGACAACAACACACCTTCATTAATATACGCAATAGAATCTATACAGACAAATAGACATCTTTACAAACCCATCTGAAAAGTTATCACACTCAACATGCAAGGACTTATAGAAACACACAAATAAAAAACATGGTTTAACTTTTGCAGCTCAGCAGAATGGGACATCATAGTCACTACAGAAACCAATGGCTTACACCACTAATCAAAACACTGGCAACATACAAAATATCAAACCATTTGGATATATAAAGAATCCCAAACAATCAGACAAGGTCTCAACATGATGATTAGCAAAGAAATAGCTTACCAGATATACAACTATAAAACACTGACTGGGAGACTTATCACCACTAACCTGGCTTTCTCATACAAAGAAAAAATGAGAATCATAGGAATATACTTCCCAGTACAAGATATTGAAGGAGAAAAGTGTATAGTCACCAACACCCTCAATAAATGGATCCAAGAAACAACAGAAAAAGGCTGGCACATTATGGTACTGAGGGATCTTAATGGTGTCCCTAATCCTTTTATGGACAAGCAAAACACTAACAGGGCAAACAAAAAGTACAGCCCCTCAGGCAAACACATACAAACTCTACTAGACAATGGATTAAAAAACACATATAGAAAACATAATCCAATTAAATGTGAATATACATGGAATAGAGGTACATTGAGTAGCAGAATCGATCAGATATGAATAAACCCTATAGCAACCTAGCAATCTAGAGCAGCCACTATTCAAGACTCTATAGCACCTCTTATACAAAGTGATCACAAGCCAATAACAATGGAATTGGAAGTCTAGTATTTAAACAGACCCAAACAAGTCTCACAACATACACCTAACCCTTGTCTAAACTGGCATCTGACCATAACTGAACAATGGAAAAAGTTTAGTGAACAAGTAGAACACCATCTCTCCACCAAAAGTACAAGCAACCAAGATATTAATTAAAGATAAAACTGCTTTAGTGATATTCTGCAAAAAGCTGCAAAAGGCCACATACCTAAAGTAAAAAAGCACC